GCTCACTGCAGCCTTGAATTCCTAGGCTCCAGTGATCCTCTCACCTCAGCCTCCCCAATAGCTAGGATTACAGGTGTGTGGCCTCCCACCCCACCCCACCCTTCACACCTGGCTGATTTTTCAAAAATTTTTTGTAGAAACAGGATCTCACCATGTTGCCCAGCCTGGCCTCAAACTCCTGTCCTCAAGTGATCCTCCCGCCTCAGCCTTTCAAAGTGCTGGGATTACAGGTGTGAGCCACTGTGCCTGGCTTGAATACACTAACTTGAATACATTCAGAATCACCTCCTCTCCCCAAAATGCGTAGAAATAGTTTTTGAGGAAACCAAAAGCAAAGCAGAAACCTTTACAGTATTGTTTCTTTTCTCTTTGTTAACTATGTCATTGCATCAAAATACTAACAGTCTGCCTAAACATGTTCGTTGTACATTTCTCAGGCTATCAATGAATGGAGCTTTTTAAAAAGTTGAATATTTGTCTGAACATTTTATTTCAAAGTTCAAAAAAACAAAGGCTGCAAAATTCATTTTATAATGGCTATTTTGTGATGATAAGATGTAGTTCACGTTTTTCTGTAGCACTGGGCCCAAATATTCTTTGTAAAGAAAATCACTGCAGCAAAAATTGTTACTGTGTTTATTATGTTTGTAGAAGTATTAGAAAAATATTCTATTTTTTATTCAGTGCTACATAATTACCCATGGTAGCCAACCCTACAAAAGACAGGTTTTCACAAATTGAGGTGGAGGTGGGCAGTTCAGTATCTGCCATTGGACTTGATTATAAACTGTATTTGAATATCAGTGGTGTTATCTTTTAAGTTGTCAGCAAGTTACCAAGTATTCATTAAAGAAATTGTGATATCAAATTACTGTTTATTCATAACAATTGATTTGATGCTAATAATAATTTTCTTTAAACTCTACCATTCATTATGTGGTAACTGTATTGGACTTACTTTATTTGGATTTTATTTTAATGTGACTAGATGTCACCACTTGAAAAAATCAATTTGTTCTTAGAACCTGGTTGAAAACACCAGGAGACTGTTACAGATGTCAAATTTTTTTTTTTTTCTGAGACGGAGTCTCTCTCTGTCGCCCAGGCTGGAGTGCAGTGGCGTGATCTTGGCTCACTGCAAGCTCTGACTCCTGGGTTCACGCCATTCTGCCACCTCAGCTTCCCAAGTAGCTGGGACTACAAGTGTCTGCCACCATGCCTGGCTAATTCTGTTTTCGTATTTTTAGTAGAGATGGGGTTTCACCGTGTTAGCCAGGAAGGTCTCAATCTCCTGACATCGTGATCCGCCCACCTCGGTCTCCCAAAGTGCTGGGATTACAGGCGTGAGCCACCGTGCCCGGCCCAAGTATTTTTTATTCAGGACGACATAACCTAACTGATAATATGTAATAAAGTTAAACTTTTTTATGATGTGTTTTATTTACAAAATATACACTGCTGGTGTTACCATATGAAAGGAAATAAAGTCAATTGATAATTGCTTCATTTTTATTGCCCTTATTTCATTTTCCGTTGTTCATAGTAACAGGCTTTGTTTCTGATATAGAAAATAACACAATCTCTTTATAAACTGCCATAAATTTGTTTGAATGGAGTTTATAACGTGTATCAACAGATAGGAATTTGAGGCCTTTGTTTGAGAAGATTTTGTAGGAAAAGAAGCAACTGAGCTGGGGAATGAAGAATATGGCAGAAGTGAAAGAAACAAACAAACAGAAAATAGGAAAAGCAAATGGAAATGACTCACCTACAGACTGGAAGAAGTTAGTTGTAGAAAGAGGTGTGTGGATATTTAAAAAACTAACATAGGGCTGGGTGCAGTGGCTCATGCCTATAATCCCAGCATTTTGAGAGGCCAACACAGGAGGATTGCTTGAGCCTAGGAGATCGAGACTAGCCTGGGCAACATGGTGAAACCCCACCTCTACAAAAAATACACAAAAATTAGCCAGGTGTGGTGGTATACACTTGTAGCCCCAGCTGGGGTGAGACGATCACCTGAGCCCAGGGAGGTTGAAGCTGCAGTGAGCCATGATTGCGCCACTGCACTTCAGCCTGGGTAGCAGAGTGAGACCCTGTCTCAAAAAATGACAACAAAAAGAACTAATGTGCCATTTTTACTTTTACTAAAACTTGGAAAGAGGAAACATATGTTGGAAGAGATTACCAAAGGTTAAAAGTAGAGTGAATATAACCTAGATGGAACAGACGTTTTGTGTGAAATTTAGTATCTTTAATAAGACAGCAGGAACTGAATGAATACAACACACCCAACTGACAAACAGAGAGAACATGTTTATTTAGCTGTATGTATATACGCTTAACTACACCCAAGGGAGCTGTAGAGTTAGAAAAACATGAACCATTAACAGATGTGACCTCCTTGCAGAACTTTTACTTTGAAAAAGAAGTACTCCTGAACCAGATTCACATGTGTGATATTTGGATGCAGAGAAAATGGGGCAGAAAGCATCGCAACAGTTGGTTCTGAAGGACAGCAAAGAGGTGCCCATCGTCTGTGAGGTGGTCAGTGAAGCTATAGTCCATGCAGCTCAGAAACTGAAGGAGTACCTTGGATTTGAATATCCTCTGAGTCAACTCTGCCCAGCTGCAAATACTCTGAATGAGATCTTCTTAATCCATTTCATCACTTTCTGCCAGGAAAAGGGAGTTGATGAGTTGCTGACCACCACCAAGATGACCAAGCACCAAGCCTTCCTGTTTGGCGCAGACTGGATTTGGACCTTTTGGGGATCCGACAAGCAAATAAAGCTTCAGCTGGCAGTACAGACTCTGCAGATGTCTTCACCTCCTCCTATGGAATCTAAACCTTATGACCTTTCCAATCCAGAACCAAGGGTAGAGGAGTCTTCCTGGAAGAAAAGTAGATTTGATAAGCTGGAAGAATTCTGTAACTTAATAGGAGAGGATTGCCTGGGTCTGTTTATCATCTTTGGTATGCCAGGAAAGCCTAAAGACATCAGGGGAGTTGTCCTGGACAGTGTCAAAAGTCAGATGGTGAGGAGCCATCTGCCAGGAGGGAAGGCTGTGGCTCAGTTTGTCCTGGAGACTGAAGATTGTGTCTTCATCAAAGAGCTGCTCAGAAACTGTCTGAGTAAGAAAGACGGGCTGAGAGAGGTGGGCCAGGTTTATATTAGCATTCTCTGATTTGGATATGTATTATGTGACTGGCCTGTAAGGGGAAAAGAAAAAAGATTCTAATAAGCAAGCTCATCTATTTGCATCATTCCAGCATGGGATTTTTTTTTCATTTGTTTTCCCATTGATTGAAAATGATTACTGGGATCAAAGTATATTAATGTCACAATTACAGAGGGAGAGAGAAAAAAAGAAAACTCTGGCTCTGCCTATGATTTAAAAACAGTTCAGGAAAAGTTATAATTTAGTTTAATATTTCATTCACTTATTCAATAATAAAAATGGGAAGAGAGATAATAAAGTCACATTTAAAGTTTGATTTGCAAAAAAAAGTGTCTTTGTTTGAAATAATAAGTCTAGCACTCAAAAGTATAAAATGTGTTTTTGCATCTGTTGGTGGGAGATGGGTAGGGTAAAGTAGTGGGTAAGGCTACAGAGCAGGTTTAATTACATTTGTAACATCAGTTTCAAGCCATGCACAGTGGCTTACGCTTGTGGTCTTAGCTACTCAGGAGGCTGAGGCGGGAGGATCGCTTGAGCCCAGGAGTTTAAGGCTATAGGGAGCTGTGATTGCACCACTGCACTCCAGCCTGGGCAACGAGTGAATCCTCATCTTTAAAAAAAAAAAAAATAGTTTTGGTTCAGGACTCCTGAGCAAAACTCACATTGTTCTTTTCCTCTTAACATTCACCTTATTCTGCCTTCTCCCTAGCTGCTGTCCACACTGAGAGGACTTTGATGGGATTTGAGATTCACTTTAGTGTTAGCTCTGCCTATGATTTTAAAACAGTGACCTATAAAACTATTCCTTTTAATAATACTTGTTTAGCCTTTGCAGTAAGGAAAATGTATTCACATATAATAATCATTTTTGCTTAAAAGCCACTGTGGAATTATAACAGTACAAAGAGGAATCACCATTATTTATTGTACTTGTAAGTCAAGTCAGATGCTTTACATATATTAGCGTGATTTTCATGTGTCCTCCATGACTCTAAGAGGTTTCTATTTGCCAAATCAAAGAGGCTAGATAACGCATAAATCTATTAAGTGGCTCGCAACAAAAGAGTAAAGTGTGCCCAGTTACAAAACCCATATTCTACCATCATGTAAAGAAAATTCCCTGTAAGCCTATAAATTATGTTAAGTAAAAATCAATTAAAAAAAAAAAAGAAGAAGAAAAGAAAATTAGTTAGCCAGGAAGGGTAGCTGCGATTCCAACACTTTGGGAGTCTGAGGCAGGAGGATTGCTTGAGCCCAGGAATACAAGACCAGCCTAGGCAACGTGGTGAAACCCCATCTCTACAAAAAATAGAAAAAGTAATGGTGATGTGTGCCTGTAGTCCCAGCTACTTTGGAGGCTGAGGTAGAGAGATTGCTTGGGTCCAGGAGGTCAAGGCTGCAGTGAGTCGTGATAGCGCCACTGCACTCCAGCCTAGGCAGCAGAGCGAGACTCCATCTCAAATACATAAAAAGAAAATTCTCTCATTTTAAACTACTGGAATTGCTGAGACCACAAAGATGTTCACCTGCAAAGATGCTAGGTGGTGGTTGTTGCTCATTTTTCTTCCATTTCCTGGCCTTAATCTGTGGCTACTTTTCCTGTTGTTGAACAACCTGTTTACTGATATGCAGCCATTAAAAACGTGGGCTGAAGCCTTTCACCTGCATCCAACCTCTTAAAACCGTTTCTGTTTCTGACAGTCTTCTTATGTCCTTGGCCCCTTCTGTGTTTTGGAATTTAGGGCATGTTCCTGTGAGGCTAAATTAAGACATCTGAGCGCAATGTGGTGTCATGCAAGTATTCCAAAGTAAGAAATACGTTTGTTGCTGTGATCTGTATAACTGAAGCACGTTGCAGTGCACTCATAGTTTGTCCGACATCAGTTTGTAAAATGCTGACTGCAAGCCACCAAACTGATATCATGACCATCAATAGGTCACAATGCAGACTTGTAAAAACTTTGTCATGGTAGGAGTGAGAGCTTTCGAGTTTAGTTGAGGACAAACCTGCTTAAAATCCCAGCTCTTTTGTTTATGCTTATCCAACCAAACCTCTGTGCTGGTTATTCTCGGTTCAGCCTCCACATCTACTCCCCACCCTGTCTGCCTTCTTCTGGGTTCTGACTGCATCACTCTGGCTTCCATCCCGTGGAGGGCACGAGATCAGAAAGGGGACAGGTCTGGAATGTATTAGCCCAACTCACCCTGCCTCACTATGATGCTTTGTTCCAGACAGCTCCTGTCCAGCTGGCCCTTCTCTGAGACTCCAGCTCCCTCCCCTTCCCCTCTCAGGCCATTGTCTTCCAGGTTGCTTCATCATTCTTGGTTAGTTCCTTGCATCCTGCCCCCACCCTGTAAATGTCCTTTTCCCTCAGGTGAACTTGAGGGTGTCATTCGATTTCTTCTGGAGTCCTAATGCCTCCTGATTTTCCCATCTAAAACCTGGAGATGACAATACCTACCTTGTAGAACTGCTATTCGTTACAAAATTAAGAATAATTGGCCAGGACTGGTGGCTCACGCCTGTAATCCCAACACTCTGGGAGGCTGAGGTAGGTGGATCACAAGGTCAGGATTTTAAGACCAATCTGACCAACATGGTGAAACCCCGTCTCCACTAAAAATACAAAAATTACCTGGGCATGGTGGTGTGTGCCTGTAGTCCCAGCTACTCGGGAGGCTGAGGCAGGAGAATCACCTGAACCTGGGAAGTGAAGGTTGGAGTGAGCTGAGATGGCACCACTGCACTCCAGCCTGGGTGACAAAGAGTCTCCATCTCAAAAAACATAAAAAATAATTTTAAAACAATGCTTAGTACAATAATCCAAATCCACTCTTTGATTCTTTATCCAGCTCAGTAAACAGGATCCACAGCGAATATAAAGGTGCATCGTTAACTTCAATCTAGATGTAGGTTTAAGAGCATGCTCCTGTTTTCTTTCCATTGAGCCTGGTGTTCTTCAAATCAAAACAAGCCTTGCAACATTGGGGAACATCAACCCCCAATCCCTTCTCTTCAAATTTATCTCCCAAAGAAGTCCTGGGGGAAAGTGAGGAAGGGAGCATTCCTAATCCCCATGATGCCTGCAGCTTCAGGAAAGAAGAAAATGATGTATATTCTC